CGGACCTCCTTTTCCCTGACACAAGAATTTTTATGCACTCGTTTTAAGTGCAATTGAAATTATTGATAAAGCAATTTTTAGAGTGCACGTCAGATAAGCATGAAACAACTCTTAACTATGTAGTGCTAAATAAGATTTAGTTATCAACTAACTAAGAATTGAGAGCAATGCTACAAAGGAATTTAAATAATTGGCATTGTGTTTATGCTTTGTTGAAGTCTTAGTTAGTTGATAACTAAATCTTATTTAGCATACATATTAAGAATTGTTTCATGCTTATGTGACGTGCACTCTAAAACAAGCTTTTTATTACAAGCTTAGCTATTTATTGGGCTGCATCAAGGTGAGTCATTTTTATTCTTAAAAACACAAACTTAAAGAAATCAAATTTTGACCGTTGAAGTCACATATAAATATTATGTAATGAGCTTGGGTTGCCTGTGGCTGATCTAAAACTGTTCTCATATAATATTGGTCATTTGTGTCTCAGACTCCTAACTGTTGCTTGCTTTCAATATGATGTCACAAAACACTAAAACAAAGCATGATAAAATGGTGCAAGCCTTGTCCCTTGGTCTGTCATGTCAGCAATCCAGTCAACATGAAGAGGCCCTCAAACATTTCAACGAAGCCCTAAGAATTGCACGAAAGAATGGATTCAAAGAGGGTGAAGGGAAAGCACTTTCCAATTTATTATTTTCTTTGTCGTCTCTTAGAAGATATGAAGAAGCAATTGTTAATGGTGAGCAGGGACTGAAACTAGCCACAAAAATTGGTGACAAGGAATTGGAGGGAGTCATTTGTGATAACCTTGGGGCTTCTTATGTAGAGTGAGAGAAACCACTTGAAGGTTTAGTATATTTGAAAAGAGGATTTGTAATTGCTTTAAAATATGACAAAAAGGAACGGATAGCAATATGTTGGCTTAATCTTGGAACTGCCTACACATTCATGGGTAATTATGACAATGGTGTTAAGTGCTGTAAGAAAAGTATGGAGTTTTTTATAGAACAAAATGATGAAAGACAGTTAGCAAATTGCTACTGTAATATTACAAAGGCATATAAAGGGCTTGGGAAATACCATGATGCAATTGTTTATAATGAGAAATATTTGGACATTGCAAGGAGGATGGGAGATAAGTTTGGCGAAGCAAATGCCTTAATTGATTTAGCTGGTCTACATAAACTCACATGGAATTTTGATAAGGCTAATGACTATAACAAACAAAGCCTTTCCATAGCTACAGAGATTGGTGATAAACGTTTKCAAGTAAAATGTTGGGCAAATATTAGCTCAAWCATGAATATGTGTGGAAAATATRAAGAAGCTTTRCCCTATCATTTGCAATGCTTGAAGCTTGCTGAAGAGWTRGGAGATAAAAGAACACAAGCCTCARTYACTTGTARTATTGCTAMATGTCACAGAAAACTTAAATCATATCAAGAATCAAATCATTTCTATGATGTTAGTTTGAACATTGCCAAAGAAATTGGTGACAAAGAAACAGAGGCTCTAGTTTACTACAATGTTGGTGGCAATCATTACCTTGATGGTGATTTTCAACAGTCGATTAGTTGGCTAGAGAAATGCTTACATGTTGCYTTGGATACTAGTAGTAAACATTGGGAGGGCAATGCATAYAWTKYATTRGGTGCAGCGTTCTATAGSWTGGCCAAGCAAAACCAAGATGGGGCAACATATGGAGAWAACTTGTCCAAATCAGAAGAGTATTTGAGAAAGGCATTTGACAGTCATGATCATATTTTCAAAAATCTTGAACWGCRAGATCAAYTAAAAAMCAGTTTTGGYGATCAMTWTWTRWCSACTTGCAAGMWCCTAGTGTCTATTCTCATTGAAACTGGTCGAAYTCAAGAAGCTCTACTTATCTCTGATCATGGYCGAGCTCGTGCTTTGGGAGATCGTTTAACCTTTGATTATGGCTTGTCTCAAGAAGAGTATGTATCACCCAAACAACTCACATATCCTSATGTTGAAGCAGTTRTTTCAGATGGTACTTTTACACTYCTCCATTATTGCATACTTRAAGGAGGTGATGTTGTCTTGGCTACAGGAAAGGATTCATTAAATCTRGTGAAGTTAGTGTACCAGCAAGAATTCATACCTAATGCTGTTTTACAGGGCAATGAAGATATTGGCAATGCTCAAAGTCTGATCTTTGGTGCTGCAATGTCGAAACTGTATACCATGATGGACATTGGAAGCATGAGATGTGAAAACAGATCCCTTGATTTGTATATGCAGGCAAATGTTCATCAGAAAAGAAGTGATCTACCAGTATCTTTGCCACATGGAGATGACAGTGGACAAGAGTTTGATCCACTTGAGGTGMTTTTCAATTRTTTTATGGCCTCTGTGTCAACTTTTGTACAAAGCGAGGAAATTGTCATTGTACCTGATGGACCAATGTATGGAGTACCATTTGCTGCTCTCAAAGATCCAGTCACTGGACAATATCTGTCTGACACCAAACGCATYCGCATTGCACCATCAATAGCAGTATTGAAACTTCTACGAGAATGCCCAACAGATCATCACAGTCAACATGGAGCGTTGATTATTGGAGATCCCAAAGTTGGAGAGGTTATCCTTAGGGGCAAGAAAACTACACTGCCTCCTTTACCATGTGCAAGACATGAAGCAGAAATCATTGCACGCATACTGCGCAGGCAACCATTGACAGGAGAGGCAGCAACCAAGGATGAAGTGTTAAAAAGGCTACAAGAAGGAGCAGCATTGATTCACATTGCTGCACATGGAAGCTCTGATAATGGTGAAATTGCCYTWGCACCAAATCTCTCACCAAACAGACAAGGGCCMCCWGAAGAAAAAGACTACCTTCTTACAATAAAAGAAGTTCAAGAAACTGGTGTCAGAGCTAAGCTAGTTGTGCTAAGTTGCTGTTACGGTGGACGTGGAGAAGTAAGGGCGGAGGGTATGATTGGCCTATGCCGGGCCTTTCTYGTGGCAGGAGCTCGTGCTGTTGTRGCATCTTTATGGGCGRTAGATGACAGTGCAACATTCAGCTTCATGCTGAGTTTTTATACCAATTTGAATCGAGGAGAAAGTGCAAGTGTAAGCCTTAATAAAGCCATGAAGGAGATAAGAAATGAAGGRTACAGTGAACCCAGGTACTGGGCTCCTTTCTTTCTTATTGGTGATGATGTCACTTTACGGGACAAAAACTAATGTAAGACTGTAAGCATATCAAGAAATGTGTCTTGCAAGGTGTCTGCAAATTCATTTCTACTGAATGACAATAATAAGCACAGGAATATCACTTTGTGTCTAACACATAACTTTTCCTTGACTTCTTTGCTTCAAGCAAATTCAACGACTATCCATAAAAAACTGTAAAAAATAAAAATGAATTTCACTATTTTAGCTTAGAACATGAGAACAGCATGAACTATTGTAGCAATTTTATTTTGTAGAAATAATCCATTTCTGCATTAATGGCACATTTTTTGAAAAAGTGTTTCTATATTTTCTTTTGTCCTTTCACTATCTTGTGGTTGTTTTGTCATGTTTGTCCTAATGACAATGTTTCACAGTATTATAAATCTGTATGAATATAATTACAGCTTGCTTTGTTTGATGGTTGTAGACTAGAAGTTATGCAATATATTATATCAACCACTATAATTGTTATTGTAACAGTATCAATATGATATTTGTGGCTTTGTATGTTTTCTGTACATGTCTTACAAGTCATTGAATCGTGACATTGCCTAAAGAGAGAGAGAAAAAAAAGAACATCTTCAGCAAAGTTATGTACATGTATAGAACTAATAGCAACTCCATTTTATAATATCTAGATGTAATAGTACAAACACTCTGATTGGTCTAAAAGAGAGTAAAAGAACATGATTTATTTTGCTGATAAATGCACGGTGACAATTATGACTAACGTTCTATATCATAAAAGCAATAAAGGATATYTATTAATGAAATAAAGCACCATGGATGWTGRSAAAACACTCAAAATGCCATAGTTTTTAGGCCTCTTTTTGTRTTCTCCTGACATCCCTGCATGCTTTATTTCACTCAATAAATTTTAATATTTCACATTAATTAAAAAATATATAATTTAGTAAAGTCATTTGCAATAAAAATAAAATTATTTAGTTACCAATTTTTGTCTTTTTTCTCTGGCTGATTCAGCACCAGTGACCGATCCATATGAACTTCCAGCCGATCCAAGGCCAGCATATTGTGTTCTCATTTGAGCCTTGGAGAAATAACAAAAGTAGTTTGTGTTAACCTTTGGGGGGAGGGTTAAGGYATTGATTAAAGACTGGTTTTACCTTGATAGGATCAACAATGCCTTGCCCATCTTTTCCAAGTCCTGATCCCTGACTCCATCCCAT